ATCAACGAGACGATTGAAGGTTATCACAGGACCTTGACTGACAATCATTGCCACGGTCTATTGAAATACCTGGCTGATGGCGGATATGGTAGCAAATCATTTTTTTTTTTTTTTTTTGGGGGGGGGGGGGGGGTATTTCAATTCAAATTCCTTCATCATTTACACAAAGCTATATATTGTAAACACGAGCATCCGTTATCGAAATGTAGATATTCATCTATTTATTCTAACAGGGTATCACTATCTATTGATCTCAGGTATATTGGATGCTCTGCTTCTCAAGTAAAATCAAGACTGCCGAGCCACCAATTATCTATACTGCTTCTTGTCCTAAAATTGTTGGTCTGTAAGGAGCATTCATCTTTCTTTTTTTCTGTCTGGCTGCAAGAATGAAATTCATTAATCAAATATACGACCCGTTTCCTCTCCAATAAAAAGAAATCGAATTTAACCAGACTGATTTACTGCTATCGTGCAGTTAAAACATCTTGTGCATCTTCATTGACCAGATTTAAAAACCTAGGAAAGCATACACCATAAACGAGACAGCATTAAATCTTATAGCAGTTATGCTCCAGAAAGATTGTGTTAACCAAGGCCAAACCTCCAAATGAGACTTAAGTTGTTCTAATGAGCAAAAGAAAGAAAGAAATGAACAATCTAAGAAATTTAAAGAAATATTGATTTCTGAACTATGAATTTCTTGAAAACATGTAGGTGTATCTATTTTTAAGATCTCCTAACAATCACAAGATATAGTCAAAATAAGTGCCAATTATCTATTTTGAGGAAGGAATTATTTACCAAATGAACACTCAATAAAAATCAATTGGTAGACATTCTTTATGAGAATACTGTGTTTTAAAGTATTTATTTCACAAATATGAAAACAGACCACAAAAGAAGAACAATTTTAAATTGGTCACAGATCATTCCATAAAAAAATACATACCTTATCAACACATGCATATCCAAGTGCATATTCTTGTTATTATTATCATCTACGATGTAATTGTGAATTATTGCACTGGTATAATTCACACACACATCTTCAAAATATCTTAACCATAACTTGCAACATCAGCGTGAACCCCACAGACTGAATTATAACATAACATTAATAATGTGTTTTTACCAATTGTCTCCACATGTTTTGGTCTTAAAATGGCAAAATATAATGGATAGGACGGCGTTATTATGGCATACTTTAAGTCATGGTAAGTTAAGAAATGCTTAATGACAACATTACCACATCAGGGGAGTGTTTCACAAAGATCCTAAGTCGAACTTAACTCTAAGTTGGACTTAAAAATTAAGGAGAGCCATTTGTAGCCTTAAAATAAAATATATTCAATTTTGAAAATTGAAATATTTTAGAGTCTTAATTAATTCCACATCAAGACCATGAAATCTCCTTGATAATAGAAATCATGAATTATTGGAATCAACATTTTATGCCTTTTAAAATAACTTTTACAAAATATAAGATGCTAACAGCTTTCCATAATTGTTTAATTGTTCAGTCCAACTTAGGATCTATGTGAAACACCCTCCCTGAAGGGACAGTTGCATTATTCCTGTATGGCAGATATAGTCAACCTAATGACTACGACACAACTCCTACAAATATTTCCAATCTGATATGAAATTACAAGATAAAGACACACCTGTACATTACAAATCCAATGATGGAGTCTTTGAAATAATCTTGAAAAGGAACTACAGATGGCAGTATCCAATTATTGATAACAGTTGAAAGATAGTTGAGAGAGAGAGAAGTCATTTTGTTTATTTCATAGTATGATTCAAGTCTCTCTTTTCATATTTTGTCATGAAAAAACGCTATGTAGATCATCAGTCCTTCTTCTCTCATTTTACCATTTTAGGACAAATTTTGAAAATGTGTTTTGCAGGAAGAAGTTCCTATCCATTTTCATTAGATGAGCAATCATGAATAATAATGAAAAATGGGCAGAATACACCAAATAATTACAGCAGGAACTGTAATAAAATTAACACTTCAAAAACAGTACACCTTTAGGTTGACATTGAATAAAAAAGAGGTTTAAATATAATGTACATCCTGGGCCAGGATCTAAATTCCCACTTGTGACATGCATGCATGAAGCCAACGGCCGCTTTGTGTGAACCTTTATGAGATTGCAGTGATTTTGGCTAGACATAAAAATAGAGCGTTAATTTGAAGTTCTTCACTGTTGTTTCCACTAAAATTCATCCAAAATCATGGACAGAATCTAGCATGTCTATTTGAGACCATATTGACTGGGTTTTATTCAAATTTTCTTTCCACTATCTATACTGTAAATTAGACTTAAATTCTACAACTGTTGACCTTGTTCTCTTAATATCACACATTATAACTGATGTAATGCACACTGAATAACTGCATTGTGTGTTACGATAAATATGTGTAGAAGGCACAATAAATTTCTCTGTACATTATATTTGGTTTGATAAAATAAAATGGGAATGTTCAAAACATGATCATAGAAAGTTGTTCAATAATGATGACTTCAATATGACAAATACATTCCTGGTATTTTTTATGTGCAAGTACATGAAGATATGTCAAAATTTATATCAAATATTGTCAGCATTTACAAAGGAAAATAGGAGCAAAGAGCTAATCAACATTGGAAACATAATATACTTGAAGTGGCTGAAGTTTTACTTAAAAAAATATGCTTAAACACTAGAGATAAGAAACTGCATGCAGATTTCCAATTTCCATGATATCCCAGTAGACTGATGACACCAATAAAGTTGCCAGAATGCTTGCAAGAGTGACATGTCAGTCTTGAAGGCTGTTGGTTTCAAGGGATAACAGTCCCTTTAAACCCATAAGTAGCCCTGTAATTCAAAAGTCAGTATCATCTTGGACATCCCAACGAGACATGTGTTATGGAATAAACATGCGTTTCCCTGGATGCTGACGAACATAGACTTATGACGCTTTAGAGAAACTGACCCCAGATTTCAGACTAACTTTCAAGATATATCCTCTCTGTGTTAAAGAAAAAGAATTAACATCCTACTGGCCCCAAACAGATGATTTCATTGAGCAGTTTTGCTTGAATTTCTGCTAAATTAGATAAAAGAACATATTTGTAACATGAATATGACAGAAAGTCAAAGCACAGGACTTGGTATGAAGAGCTGTTGACTCATTTTCTTTTACCTTATGCATCAAATAATGAAGTGATATAATACAGCTTCACAACATTAGAACAAATATAGTGCTATAAAATAGTGTAATACAAATTACAGGAAAATATCATTCAAAAATGGTTCAACTGAAAGAATAGTCATCCATGGAATACAGTTTATGTTTAAAAATGTATTAAAAGGGTTAATAAATTCATATTTTCGACAATGCACTCATAAAATTTCAGAATCTGCCACTTCTGGTAGTTAATCAGCCTATTATACTCATTGCTAAATCTAATTATATCTTGTTTGTAAACAAAAACGAACATAAAGGTTAAAACTAGATGGAATTCGACTGCGCACAGTCGAAAATGATGCCTCCGTTATAGAGCAATTTTACAAACCAAAACAGAAAAAAAAAATTGAATTCACGTTCAATGGTAATCCATTGACAGGTTCTCAGAATATTGTGATTACAAGCAATTTCTCATATACATATATGACCCTTTGATCTTTGACCTCATGACCATAAAATCTACTCAGTTCATTGGCTCTGCAAGATGTTCTGAGTTAAATAGTAATCCATCTGTCAGTTCTAATGAGAATGCGTTCACAAGCTATTTTTGCATACATAATGGGCCCATGGCCTTTGACCTTTGACCTTATGAACCAAGAATCTACTCAGTTCATTGGCTCTGCAAGTAACAAACATGACCTAATTTTGGCATGAATCCATCAATCGGTTCTTGAGATAACGCGATCACAAGCTGTTTTTGCATTCTTAATGTGCGCTGTGGCCTTTGACCTTTGACCTACGTGCTCCAAAATCTAATCAGATTGTCTTCCTATGGTGATACACACTATCATTAAGTTTGAAGTTTTTACATCTCCAGTGGTTCTTGAGATATCATGATAACAATCTCAATGTATGGAATTTCATAAGTTGACCTCTGTGACCCTTGACCTTTGACCTACGTGCTCCAAAATCTAATCAGATTGTTTTCCTATAGTGATACACACTATCACTAAGTTTGAAGTTTAAATCTCCAGTGGTTCTTGAGACATCATGATAACAATCTCAATGTATGGAATTTCATAAGTTGACCTCTGTGACCCTTGACCTTTGACATACGTGCTCCAAAATCTAATCAGATTGTTTTCCTATAGTGATACACACTATCACTAAGTTTGAAGTTTAAATCTCCAGTGGTTCTTGAGATATCATGATAACAATCTCAATGTATGGAATTTCATAAGTTGACCTCTGTGACCCTTGACCTTTGACATACGTGCTCCAAAATCTAATCAGATCGTCTTCCTATGGTGATACATACTATCCTTAAGTTTGAAGTTTAAATCTCAAATGGTTCTTGAGATATCGCGCTAACAAACTCAATACAAGGAATTTCATAAGTTGACCTCTGTGACCTGTGACCTTTGACCTACGTACTCCAAAATCTAATCAGATCGTCTTCCTATGGTGATAAATACTATTCCCGAGTCTTAAGTTTAAATCTTAAATGGTTCTTGAGATATTGTGATAACGGTCAAACGGGACGGACGTACGGACGGACGTACGGACGGACGGACGTACGGACGGACGGACGGACGGACGTACGGACGGACAACCCGAAAACATGATGCCTCCGGCACCACCTTCGGTGGCGGAGGCATAAAAATATATATAATTAACATTTACTAAACAAATATATGCTTTGGTAAAATGAAAAAATATACATATGAAATTATACATACATGTACAAACATTGTGTAATAAACATCAACAAAAGAATGAAGCACAAAATAATTACCTAACAAAGGAAAAAGATTTCTTTTTTCATTGAGTAACATGATTTTTCATGCTTTGTGTCTCATATTACAGCTTTAGAAATATGTCTTTAAAGACACAGATTTCTAAATAAATGCTCTGAAAGTTTAAAGACACATATTTCTAAAAAATTAGGGATTGAAAGTGTGTAAATGTAATAGAAATGCAATAAATTATCATCTATATAATTATATCACAAGTGATATCTGGAATAATCAGTAGACCTAGCACACACTTACAAGAGACAATCACTGGCAGTGTATAATACTACAAATTCATTCTTTATCCGTGTTGGCAAGGTAAACTTGATCTACTTATGAAACTTGGAACATAAAGTACAGCATTTATAAGTCAGTTTATCTCTTTCAATATCACACCTGACCTATATAATAGGGGACTCTTGAATTTACCAACAAGCTTGGCAGAAGAGTTATATCATTCTTTGGACGGTGACACCGTTCTTTAGCTGCAAGACAACGACCTCTTACTATAAAAGAGAAATATGTCTTTTACATACAAATATACGCAATTTTGACTGTTGCAGCATTTGAATATATATTCGCATCTGTATATTTAATACACATATGTTCTTGTTAATAAGTATACATAGGATGACAAGTACAATCATAGTAACTGCTTATTTCACATGATTTTCTTGTACTTTTCATAAACACGGCAGACAAATTCAAATCTAACACTCACTGCACACAAAATAATTCACGTTTAAACAAGACAATTGGAAGTGGAATGAGGTATCTAAATTCAATCCATTTTGTGCATTGCATCTTATCACAAAGTGCTGAATGGGTTGACAAGTTTATGCATTTTTAACCAGCATAAAATTATTACAGATAAATATTGTACATACATGAAGACATTTAAAGAGCCACTTCATGTACAGAAACAGTGATTGTCACTAATAGAATGTCCCACAGGGTACTAAGTTAGTAGATATTACAGTTAAAAATGACAATTATGCTTTTTATCGACCTGACCCAAGTCAGATATTAATCTTCTTTTGACACACTCATTAAAGGGATCCAGTTACTTTGTCTCAAATAATTCTGAAACAAATTTCTGAATTTAGCTCATGCTGCAATGATAATTATAAACCTTTAGGTCAGTCAGGAACCCCATGAATTTTACAAGCCGATCACCTGTCTGATTATCAAGATATTTATGATTGGAATTACAATTAGTTAATGCCAGACTCAATTTTTAGAGCTCTTTTGGAAGCACATAGGGATATTCAATCATTTATTTGCCATTGATCAAAATCACTAGACTGCTACATTGTTACATAGTAAACTGTACGTGTTCACTGTGCATGTGACAAAAGTTGTTTTGTCCATCGTTTGTTCCATTGGTCGAACAAAGCCAGTAAAATGTTTAAATCATGATGTGATCTGCACTGTACAGGAGGAGAATATTGTAGGTGGCAACTACAGCATGACCATGTTCCATCAAGAAATGGCAGTACCATTTGTAAAGGCAGTCACACATATATTTCGGTTGAGTAAAATAATCAACGTCTACTAAGTAAATTGAGGTAGACATCAACGGACACGAAACATCGCCATAGAAAGACAAACTCTTGCATACAGCTACAGAATTAAAAATCATCACAGTTTTCTGTCAACCATTATACTACTGGAAGCCATGTGAAGACTTTGCCTGAGTGTTAACAAACCCTTCATTGATGCTCATGTTAATTATGTGTGCTCCTGGAGCCAAGTATAAACATGGTCATATACCAGCAGCATGATAGCACCGCCTGGTCCAAGGCGCATGATCTTGGGCAGAAGGCCTCGATAAAGAGCAAGGAATCTGGTCAAGAGAACAAAAGAAGAAAAGAACTGTTAAATACACCCTCAAAATAATTTGGTTGCCTACTTGAGCTCAGTCCAGATTGTCCAATATTCCTTAGCATTCACCATGAAGTAGAATTGTACACAGGCAGCATGAATCAATCCAATCACTAGAGTCACAAGAAATGTAAACTGCTTACATGCTTTACTATTATGCAATATATAAATCCAGATTAAAAATTGAAATTGAGGTACTGAATGAAACCCATATCCTCAATAAAGGAATTAGCCATCAACAGTTTCATAATTTGTTTGAAAAGATTGATTGACTGATTGCAGGGAAAATGTTATTAATCATCATATCATAGAGGATATGAAAGATGTGGACCTTTCAGAAAATTGTGGTACATTGATTCAACTGGTAATGCTATTTTAGACTGTCTAAACACTTAAGTTACTACCATGCATAAAGAATAAGGATGATGAGAACAAAGAATGTGAATAATATGAAGATTGGGAAGGGGAAAAAAGATGAACAGACCAACAACGAGAAAAAGAACAAAAGAAAGAACAGAGGGATTGGGGACTAATCCCTCATAATAATAATAATAATAATCATAGGCATTTCTACAGCGCCGTCTATCTAGAAATTCTATTCCAAGGCGCATTTATTATTACCCCGGCTTTAGCCCAGCTGCAATTACAGCGCTCCAGCATTTCAAGGAATTAATTCCTGCCAGGTACCCATTTACTTCACATGGGTCGAGTGTGGCAAATGAAGATTAATGCCTTGCCCAAGGACATAAGTGCCATGTCGGGTATCGAACCACGACCTTCAAATTACAAGTCAAGTGCTTAAACCACTCGACTACGACACTTCTAACCATATAGAGTTTTTAAAGCTGCCTTACCCTTCTTCCCGATACACCATAGATATCGTTCTGAAGCATCCTTTATATTTGACTTCTCCTGGCACAGGCTGTGGTCCTTGTATCCTACTCTTTGCAACATCAAATGGTATATTGACTGTAGACCCTAGACAACCTGCCAGCAAGCCGATCGCAAACTTGCGTCCGAACTCTAGTCGTGGATCCTACAACCAGATGAAAAATATTGTGTTTAATAAACATTTTACAATGAACAATATCTTGTATACAAACATTTCAAGGCTCCGACTCGCAGGCCCAGGTTTAAAACCAGCTGGCTGATCTTACATTCACATTCGTCCGAATCTCTCGAGTCTGCACATTCTATTATATCCCAAGTTGGCCACTCACTATTCAAATTTGCATTTTCTTTTTTTAAATCGTTATATATCAAATTGAAATCCAACTACCACATAAGTCTGTGAATATTGATGTGCATCCCATCTTTCTTTTTTTTCTGTCTTTTTCCCCTTTACCAATATTTTGTTCCTCCATATTTGTATTATTATGTATCCTTTGAGGTTAGTCATACTATCAAGCTTTGCTTACTTTGTCAACCCTCCTATTTGATGTTTTCGATTAGTTACAGCCAGCCTTACTTTATTCTACATATTCTTTTGTCATGTGTAAATTTGCAATATTTGTTTGTTATATATTTGTAAAAATGCAAAAGAAAAAGAAAATCAAACAGAAATAAATAAATCAAATCAAATCAATCAACAGTTTCAAATAGATTCCACCAAACTAAAAGTCCACTTACAATAGAAGCCACCTTGCTCAATAATCTGATTCTTTATCACATTGATGTTGTAACACAACAGACAATACATGGACTATCAGGAGTGAATAGCTTTGAAAACTTTGGAAGAATAATCTATAGTTCATAGCTCCCTGTATCTAACTGAATCTTCAATTCAAATTCAAGGCTGAAGAATAATTGGATGTTCTGAAGTTAAAGAGAGTGGAGGGAGTATGGATTGCAACTTAATCCTCAACGACCAAAGAGTTTTCCCCATGTTTGATGATCAGGGTAAGCCTTGATATATGAATACTGTAGGTGCAATTACAAGCCCTCAAAGGATCAAGCACATATACACTCTTTTTTTGTGTGACTAATTTCTCCAAATCTATATCTATTATCAATATCTGTATCGGTCTGCTGCATCAAAAGCTACAAACATAGGGGAAAACTAAACAGGTCAACTATCTTTTTTTATTAAGAGTGACACTATTGAAGCCCTACTGCACTACTTGTAGCTACTTGTGCCCTCTATATAGCAAAAAATGCCTAATCGGTGCCTGTTGGTCCCCATGGTCCCCTTTTTTAATGTTAATTGAGAGCTTATTTGATGAGATAACCATCTGTCAGTGACCATGCAGGGAGGTCTAATCCCTCTTGGCCAAACTAGTACAGACAGGCTTTAAACAGATACAAAAAATGTAAATCACCTGTGAGGCTGGTATTAAATCCTTGATGTTGTGATAGAAGCTAAAGTAGATCATATTAAAGACACCATGTCTACCCAGGGTAGCAGTAAGACCTCTGAATAGACCATCGGATCCATAGCCATCTGTTCTTATCACATGCCTGGCCATTCCAAAGGCACTTGGTTGCTGCAGAAATAATGAAAACAACATTCAGAGTCAATATTCATTTAGAAACTGATACAAAGTCCTCGATCTCGCCATTGGCAAAGAGTTCGGCAGCATAAAAATAAACCAAATTTAATCCATTTACTTTGAAAGTATGAGAATGCATTTTCCCTTTAACAGATTGGTGAGCAGGTTGAAGTAAGCATCCCCTACAAAACAAACGGAGGAAACAACAATAAACATATAAAACACATCTTGTCAAGATCTACTTGACTGACCAAAGTTTTTAGGGGTCTTTTCTTCTCCTACAAAGAGGTAAATTATGAATGGAAAAGTGGTCATGATAAAAATTATTTTTTACTCTTCAAACATTTGTTCAGCTCCAGCCAAAGTTTTACACTGTGCCTTTGAAGTAAACATCTTTAATACTGGATTGCTTTGACTAAAGATATACACATTGCTCTTGCCTGGCTGTGATTATAAAGGTTCATGCTTGTTACTGACATAATAAAGGAACAACTCACCTTTTTAAATGTGTTTTGATCAGCCTGTAATCTAACTTTGACCACTTCAAACGGGTTGATAAGTACTCCCTCTGTCAAACCTGAACAGAGCCCTGCAAGTGTGAAGGTCTGCAGACAAGACAAGGCAAGACAAGACAAAATTAAATTCCAAAATTACAAGATAATTCAGGGAATCTGTAATTAAAACCTGCATGTAAAGGGCCACTAAGGGACTCTACACCCCAAATTTGTTTATGGTAATAATAATAGTGCATATAATTATAATCACAAAATAAATAAATAAATAAATAAATAAAAGATGAAATAAAGTCAAGAAACTGTAAGAAAAGACGATGGCCTCATATAATTCCCACCTTCAGCATAAGACACAAATACATACTTGGCAAACAGTTTATGAAAAAACATTCTGTATACCGGTATATACCACTTACTTCTAGAAACTAGGGGGAAACCACTCGCAAATTCTTTTATTTTTTAATTGTCTTTTTGTAATTATGCTATTTCTTAAAGGCCCACTGCACTACTTGTAGCTACTTGTGCCCTCTATATAACAACCAAAGCCTAATCGGTGACCATTGGTCCCCCATGATCCTCTTTTTCTTATGTTAACTGAGAGCTGAGTTGATGAGATAACCACCTGTCCAGTGACCTTGCAGAGCGCTCTAATCCCTCCTGTAAACTATGGCAGATAAGCTTTAACATTTTCCTTATGATTTATATGAGCTTTTCTCTCCAATCATCAAAGTTTGTTGAGGAAAGGGGCACAGAAATATTAGCATTTTCTATCTATAATAATACAAATGTAATTACAACCACATAACACATATTGATCAAAGTTTAGCATACTATGTATATTTTGGTAAAGGCAAACATTAAACCGAGTCTATACTTTTCCAAATGACTCTTCCATTACATCTGCTCTCATCAAGTACTTACCAGTGCAGTTGGTGTGGGACTCCCAAACAGGAAAAAGTTCTTGTACTGCTCAAAAGTGAAGAACTTTGTAGCCCTCTTGGGGGTCTCTGCCATAATGGGAGGCAATATGCCTTTGTAGAGAGACATGGTTCTATAGATAGGAAAAGATTCACACATAGACCTCAAATCAGTATACTTGAATTAGTGATTGGAAAACAATTAGTGTAATTGAGTTACTAAAATGGAAATGGTCCATTTACAGCTTGAACATTTATTCAACTTAGGGGTGTATTTTAAGAAGCTCTCGTAAATTCATTTTAAAAGCTGTTGAAGCAACTTATATTGTACCATTTTTCAAAGTGTCATTTAGCAAGATAAAGTCTGCTTTCTCATGATTTTACAATACAAAATATATTGGGACTTATTGGCCCGAATTCACAAAGCAAGGTTTGAGCTCAGACCAAGGTTTGAGGTCAAACCTCCTTTTGTTTCGCCAAACCTTCTTTTGTTATTTACAAACCTGGTTTGTAAATAACAAAAGGAGGTTTGGCGAAACAAAAGGAGGTTTGAGCTCAAACCCGGTCTGAGCTCAAACCTTGCTTTGTGAATTCGGGCCAATGGGTATGTTTTTAATCAAATCTTACTTCATGTTTAAACCATTCAATAAAGCATGGGGTATCTGAACAAACTTTGATTAAATCAATGGGAAAAGAAAAAATGCTTACCCTTCTTTTTTGGTCATCTGTCGGACACAATCCCACATTCCATTGTACTTCATTGTGCTGTTAGGTGCACCTTGGATCTGAAACCTGCAAAGCCATGTAAAAAACAGATTGAGATTACTCTGAACAAAAATGAGAAATTTTCAGTAGATAAACCAATAGATTCATAAAAAAGGGGAAAATGGCTAATTTTTATCACAAAATTTGAAAAACAATATATACATTATATATATTACTCTGCAGAGTTTAATATCTATCATAACATGGCATGTGTTCAAAGAAGAAATGATACACTATTAAACCATATATTTTTTTCTTCATACAACTAGCTTAATTTTCTGTTTGAAGTCTATGAAAAAGGAAGAGACTAAAGATATACATATGCCTACTAGCAGTGAACTTCTACAAATCAATTGAACTCATATTACGATGAAGTACACAGACAGTATTTAATCAAACAGGATCTTCCTGATGTCATTAAGGAACAGATGAAAAAGATATTAAAACTCAAATACCTTGTTTTGATGACATCAAGTGGGTGCATAATGCTGACCTCAACAAGACCTAGACAGACATTTAATCAAATTTTTAAAAAATCAAAACATGCATGTAATAAAGAAAAGATTGAAACATTGAGGAACCATTTTTGCTGACTAACACAAAAACTTATGTGTACTATTTTCAATTATAACCTTTCACTAGTTTAGAATAATACACATACTATGGCTAGTTTCTAGCCTGGACTATTTTGAAACTGCATAGCATGGGGGGGGGGGTTCTAAGGCCCCCTCCCCCATCCCTATGATCTCGGCAGTTTGCATGCAAGTCAGGTGAAGTGTATAGAATACTATGGTAATTTCAATTTTTTTTTGAAAAATTCACTTATTTGCATATTTATGGTAATTTATGCAAATAAGTAATACAATTCACATTTTTACCCATAAATCATATATTCTTCATATTTAAACATTAGTTTTCACTAAATATATTCTTTAGACTATATGGGATAGTAATACCAATTTTTGGTTTGGAAGAACCAGGTTATTCCTTATGTTATATATTGTTTTGATAATTTCTTATGTATTTCTTTTTTTTTTTAACTTATGCATTTTAATGTTTTTGTTGTTTTTTTTCATTTATACCTATAATTCTATTTTGACCCCAACAAGAAACACCTTAACTTATCTATAAACAAGACCAAATAACCAATGTTCTATCTTTTTTTTTTATTATTGAAATTTCCATATGTTTTGAACACAAATCACGACAATGAACGATTTCTGGGTAGACAAGCAAAGACAAAAGGTCACGTGACTTTGTAACGGTAAGTCTGATTTTGGAGAAAAAAATTGTTTCAAAAGATGCACAAGACTCAAAAGAAAAAAGTCATAAAATTTCAGCGCAAGATTATTTTGAATAAAAAAATTATCCAGAAAAATGCCCCCCCCCCCCCCCCCCCCCCGGCTAGATAGGGTTAAGATGTAAATGTTAAATGATTTCATCATTACACTTGCTTTTTTACACTGAATTGCTTGAAAATTTCTTTGAAACACATCCCATTCTGTCTGTCTGTCAGTCTCTCTCCATCTCCTCCTCCTTCTTTTTCTTCTTCTTCTTCTGAGTAACTACCTTTATCTCCCCATTTATGAAATAAAATACATGACAAACCTGCAGAGCCTCCTGCAGTGATCTGCTGTCCTGCCTGCTTTAACTTCCCCATGTCTTCTCCTCTCCCTCTCTCTTCTCTCTCTTTGAGTCTTTCTCCACCAAAGGCACCAATAGATCTAAGCACCCTCTTCAGCTAATATTGTAACGTCCACTGCTGCACCTGCATCACTGCTGGTCTGTTCTGAAAACGAAAAAAACACATTTATTAATGTGAAATATTTAAATGGTTAGGCTATTCCTGTCCATGGCTCATGTACCTGCAAAATGAAAGTAGTTGCCTTGAAAATAGGAAAGAGTGGGCCTTTAGAGCAGATGTTTGTGGTTACATAATGAGATTACAATACATAAGTTGTATTGTGTTACAGCAGATCATATCATAAGTTTGGAGCCAAAAGGGCATTCATTTTTATCTTAAAGCAGCTCAATTGACGCCTTTTTGTTTCCAAACAGACAACGTAATACCGAACCTACATGTATCTTTCAATCAAACATGCTTTTCAATAGCATATCAATCTAAATACACAAGATATAATATTTATTCAATGAAATGAAATGTAGCATCTGTAATCATATATCATAAATGCAGCAGCCTGTCTCGATTTACTATTTAAACAAATTTTTAAATAGAAATCTCTTTTCAGTTTTATTGACAAGCCTATTTTATTAATACAAAATTTACCAAAATCTGTTACACTGGCAAGAAACGGTTTACATTACTGACTTTTTTTGTTACTTGTATGATGAATTTTATCACTGGTCTTTATTTTAACATATTGATTGTAAACTCTTATTTAGTATCACTTCATTATTTTGTATCAACCATGTTTCTTTCTTTCTTTCTTTCATTTGTTTTCATTTTTTTTGTTACTATTTTTTAATGTACTCAACCGTACTTGTAATACAATTTGTATTTTTTGCTGCTATTTGTAATCCCTTTTTAATGGAATTTGGAAAATAAACTAGAAACTTGAAACCATAACTGATAACCTTGTATGGGTTTACATTTTTAAGCTGACATCCCTTACAGTGAAATATTCTAAAGAAAGACAATAATTCACTAATTTGACTTCTAGCTGCAGCAAGAAAACACACCATAGTACCATTGTAACAGTTGTTATAGTAAAGTGAAACTCTGGCACTCCAAGAAGGCGTAAGGACCCCTAGAATTTGAAATCTGACCCGCATTCATGCACTGTTAGAACAGAATATACACAAAATGATTTCAGAAAATGCATATAAATTACGCTTGTATGAAGTAATTTGAGATACATTTAATTTATGTAACCAAGTACTGTAGAGCCCAAAGTCGGGTGTATTGTTTGCATATGGGAACATCGACAATTGGTCTATGCACATTGTACATGAGAAAGGGTAAAGTAAGCATTTCAGAATTTAAATACCTGATTTTTAGAATTGGAAACCCCACATCTAATTTATTGCATAGTTACCCTAAATCCAATCAGCAGAAAATGTACTTAGATTAAATCATACTTACGATGTAAATTGATTTGATAGTTTCTATTTTTATTTTACCGGTACATGTATATGCATGTTCAGTGAAACAGTGAATATTCATTATAGCCCAACAGCCCAAACAGCTATCGGCCAATAAGTGTGTAATTCCCATATACCAGTACATGTAAGCCTTCTTTGTCACTTGAATACCCAATATCATTGTAAGTGGCGCTCTCCCAACAAATAGATAATTCTAAAAGATTCAGTTACACGCTAGCTCTTTGCAGCTGCAGCCAAAACTTTAAATTGTTGTCATGATATCTATGAGGCTATTCACACCGGCAGAGATAGCGCGCGCTAGACCGCGCTATCTCTGCGGTTTGGAAGGTACAACGTCGTTTCGGTCCACCCAACAGCGAGCCACGGCGAGCCAAAACCGCGTGCCAATGGAGCACCTCTTGGGGGTGGTCCACGAGAGATAGCACGGTCTAGCGCGCGCTAGAAAAAACGGGGTGCTACGATAGACCGCGCTATCTCATTGCGGTGTGAACAGCCTCTATGAAACTTTGTATGTACTGTATGGTCCATATCAAGCAAACCAAAATTCCTGCTTTTAAACACAAGTCGCAAAGACAAGTATTTACAAGCAAATAATGGTCTGTAAGTATAGTGGCATCTGGCTAACTTGGTACTAGGACACCGTTAGCATCATTATCATAATACAGTCAAACCTGTCTTAGCAACCACCTGTCTATAACGACCACTTAAAAATCCCCCGCAAGATTTCATGTAGTTAAGACCCTGCACACAACAACCACCTGGTTCATTCGCACTAATGTCTCTCCCTCCTTATCTTTGTCCCCCTCCCCCTCTCTCTTTCTCTTCCTCTACCTCTCCCTTGCCTTTTTCTTTCCTTCTTCCATTTTTGAGTCCTCCCTTGTCTGCTTTCACCTTCTTCAGTCAGTAAGATACCAATATTCAAGTTCACACAATATGTGTCCAAAGCCTGTTTTTTGAAATACAGTATGTTTAAATGTTTAGTGTGATATTTTGATAGTTTACGCATTACTCATAATGTGGGTATGCGCATTCCCATTTCCTAAAAAGTATAACTTCATTCATTTTATTTCAACTTTTTTAATCTGTATGAATGACTTTTAATATTGCACTATAAACTGTAATTTTGCAGACACTGTAACTATTATAAAATGAAATGAAAGGGCCATTTGACTTTCAAGAGAGAAAATTGTCTTGAAGAGAGAAATAGAGGTTATTTCTAAAAGTGAAATATTCAATCTGAGGGCTTTTTGTGGTCTTTGAAAAGAGCACACAATGGGGGTAGTGCAATTTAAATTTCAAGGGATGGATTAGAGTTTGTATCGCTCATGAAAATCAAATACCCTTTCATTTATTTATAGAAATAAACTCTAATCCATCTAATATTTAGATATTTAAATTGCACCACCCCTATTGTGTGCTCTTTTTAAAGAGCACAACAAACCCTCGGATTAGGCAGCAGAACACACCCTTAAAGGTATTACAAAGTTTTGGTATGGGGTCATGAATTTGGTTCAAATTAACAATTTCAGAAGCATATGCGTTCCTACAATATTCAGTGATCGTTGTTGCGGTTGAAATCGAGTCTAAAGTTATGAAATTATAAATAATAAACTCTTTTCGTTGTATAGCTCCCTCTCATGGTCAAGATATTAATTTAGTTATGAAACAGTATTTCTTGACCAAAATCGACCGATTAGCTATTCCCGTTTGGAAATTATATATCACAACTACATATTCTGAGATTTTCATGGTCGCAGCTACCATTGTACGGCCATAGGCGCTATTTGAAATTTATCAAAATTTACCGGGAGCACCGGTAAATTTGTATATCCAATTTTTCTGGAAAATAGAAGTGTTTTAGGGGCTAATTTTTTTAGTGCTTATGATACATCCACAGGGGCATCCAAATATAACAAAATTGTAAATATTCACTATCCACTCATTTTTCAAAATTTCCCAAAACTTTGTATTACCTTTAATACTGGACACAACATTCAATGGGATGATACCCACATCATTGGCCCGAATTCACAAAGGAGGTTTGTCGACAAACCTTGGTTTTCGTATGTCATATGACGCGTTTTACGCCTTTTACAAACCTGGTTTGTAAAGAACAAAAGGAGGTTTGGCGAAACAAAAGGAGGTTTGAGCTCAAACCTTGCTTTGTGAATTCCGACCATTGAGTTTGAAATGCACTTGGTAAAGAATGGTAGAAGAATCCATCTGCATAATAAGAATAAATCCCTCACTGAATAGGGATTCTTACTAAACTTTTCTTCGCTCCAGTGATCTCGAGAAGAAATTGTGTAAATAACAAAAGGTCCACGGGAGTGGTTGTTAGAAGCTTTAACTACATAAAACTCACATTCTCTCCAATTTTATACAACAAAAGGTTGTCTTGAGAAACACTCCTATCTGAGCCCCTGGAAGTTCTTGAATTTAAAGATTAGAAAGCTCCAAATAGTCGTCACAAGCGACAGAAATTGTTATTTCCTCCTTGAAAGTCACATAGCCCCTTTCATTTCATTTCATTTCAGTAATAACCTCCCTTTCTCTCTTAAAGACAATTTTATAAAACTTCTGTTTTTGTATTCGTCTGCAAACTTCTTAGTCACATGTCGAGCCAACTCATCGGAAATGTAATTTGTAATCAGGAAGTTTTGTGTTCTTCCATTTTTTAAATAATGTTTTCTGGTTGTCCGTCTGTACGTCCCGTTCTCGTGATTAGCAATATCGCGTTATCTCATGATTCCCTCCAAACTTGGATCATCTATGTATTTTGCAGAGCTTATGAACTGAGTAGATTTTGGGGTCACGAGGGCAAAGGTCAAAGGTCAAAGGGCTCATTATGTATGCAAAAATAGCTTGTGATCGGGTTATCTCAAGAACCAATTGATGGATACCTGCCAAACTTTGGTCAGGTATGTATCTTGCAGAGCCCATTAACTGATTAGATTTTTGGGTCACGAGGTCAAAGGTCACAGGGCTCATTATGTATGCACAAATAGCTTTTGATCGCATTATCAAGAGAACCAATGAACTGATTACATTTTAGGGTCATCAGGTCAAAGATAATGGGGAACAAGAAAATTGACACGAAACAGGTAAGAAACATAACACCTTTAAAATCATGATCTTTATTTGGACATTTCATAAATATTTACTTCATTCTGGGTATGTTTATACTCTTTTTCACACTGGTTTTGCTTAGCCCCGTACTATCCTTAACCCCAGACTATTTTTTTTGGCTTTTCACACACGTTGTTTTTAGTCCCGTACTAGCACCTATTCCGGAATAAGAAAATTCACGCTTTTCTTACTGCAATTTGTTAACCCCGGATATCGTGAATGTTATGATTGGACATATTTCACATCTGGCCAGCTGCGATACGCTCCATTGCGTAGTACCGGACTATTTTTTGTTTCTGTTCTCATTCATTTGCTTGGCACCGCAATTGCGAGGTTAGCAGGAGTTAGCACCACAATTGCGGAGTTAGCCCTGCTATTTTGCAGGGTTAGTTAACCCCGTACTATAGGTGGGGTTAGCCAACTTTAGCCCACTTTGGTAAAAGCCAGTCTGAACAGAAAGTGGAATAGGCTTAACCCCATATACTATAGATCTAGATCTAGGTGGGGCTAAGCCTAAGACCCCCCCCCCCTTAACCCCACCTATAGTACGGGGTTAAGCAAAATATTGCCAGTGTGAAAACAGTATAAGTAGGGCATCTCCACGCCAGAGTCAAATTTTGGACCGACTTCTGAACTAGCGCCGAAGTTACAATATTTTCTTGCCTCGAAACCAAAGACGTCAGTTCTACAAACATGAATCTTAGCATGTGGGGCAATAAAACGTAAACAACCAGTCGCTTGGAGAATTTTTGTGAATGCTTCTACTATATTGATTAAAAAAAGTAAAATCCCCAATGAACACCGCAAATGCTAGTATTCAGGGCATATTCAGTCTGGAAAATATCAAACCAATGTATCAAGAAATAATGTCGTTTACTCACCTCTAAATGACAATCTGACCCAAGGGTTGTCTGCTCAGCTCTGCTGCCACCCACCCCTAAACTAAGACCTGAAGTTACGGACCATTTACTTGTAAAAAACTTAGTACATGTATATACACCGAGTAGACAAATCAAGAAGCAAAATAAATGCGCGGTGGGGGGACGAATATTTTTTTTACACGCTAGCCTGGCCAGTTTCGCTGTAATACTCGTAAAAGTGCGCTGGTGGTGAAGACATTATAAAGGCATACACTACCACAGTTTAACTTGGTTGCTCTCTAGCTGAACGTTCGTTCGTTCGTGTCTCCTTAGATCAAGATTAATGAAAAGTTCCTAAATCAAATTAGAATAAATTAAGTTTTTGAATTCCATCGCCTTTATTATATAAGTGCCCCTGTTTTATTCTAAGGCTTTTCAGGTGCGATAAGTGCCCCTTTTTTTTTACCTCGGGTAATCAAATTTGTTTTGCTCTGTTTTGCTCTGTTAATAAAATAGTAAAATAGTAACTGTCCATTGAACATTGTGTAGGCCAGGCGCGGATCCAGGGGGGGCCGAGCGTGCCTTGCCCCCCCCCCCCCCCCCCCCCCGCAAAAAAAAAAAAAAAAAAAAAAAGAGAGAGAGAAGAAAGGAAAAGAAGGGAAAGGGAAAGAGGAGAGAAAGGGAAAGAGAGAAGAGGAAGAAGAAAAGAAAAGGGGGAAGAAAAAGATCGGGGGGCCGAAAGGGCCTTGCCTCCCAGGCTGTTGCCCCCCCCCCCCTAATCACAAAAATAAGAGAGAAGGAAGGAAAGGGAAAGAAAAGAGAAAAAGGGGAGATACTGGCGAACTGATAGGGGGTAGGGGGCTTGTGGGAAATCAAATTTAAACGTGGTTTATTTCTAATTCCATAACGGTAGATTACAAATAATGCTGAAATGACATAATTTCAGAGATTTTTCCTCACTTTTTAGTAAATTATACGTTTTTATGTGACAAATTCCTAAAATTTGAGATTCCTACAAATGTCAGGGCCCGAGGAACGGCGAGGATCGAGAGCCTCGAGCCCCCCCCCCCACTTTTTTTGAAAAGGTATATTAAAGAAAAATAAAAAAGAAAGAGAGCAAGAAAGAAAAAAGAGTTAACTGCCAGTGTCAAAAAAATAATGAGGCATCAAAATATGCTCTTCTGACCGTGATTAAATGCCTAAAGCCCCCAAGCTTCCGGAGGCTCTGCTGGCCCCTGGATTCCACCTAGGGCCCTAAGGCGGGCCCTTAGATGCTCATCTGACGGTAATTTAATGTCTAAAGAGGGCGTATGAATAAAAAGGAGCAGACAAAGAACATCTTTGAAATTCAGACGAGGATTAAGAGTAGAGAACGGTACAACGCATCGTCTTCTTTCTCTAATGATTTAATAAAACGTCAAAGCTTCCGCGCTTCGCGCAGGAGGGGAGGGGGGGAACGAATTTAGACAAAGATTAAGAGTCGAGAGCGGTACAACGAATCGCCTTCTTTCTCTAATGATTTAATGACACTTAAAAGCTTCCGCGCTTCGCGCAGGAGGGGAGGGGGGAACTGAATTCAGACAAGGATTATGAGTCGAGAACGGTACAACGAATCGTCTTCTTTCTCTAATGATTTAAATGAAAATTAAAGCTTCCGCGCTTCGCGCGGGAGGGGGGGGGGGAACGAATTTAGACAAGGATTAAGAGTCGAGAGCGGTACAACGAATCGCCTTCTTTCTCTAATGATTTAATGACACTTAAAAGCTTCCGCGCTTCGCGCAGGAGGGGAGGGGGGAACTGAATTCAGACAAGGATTATGAGTCGAGAACGGTACAGCGACTCATCTTCTTTCTCTCATAATCTTATGAAACGTCAAAAATTCCGCGCTTGGCGCGGTAGGGGAAGAACTGAATTCAGACTAGGATTCAGAGTCGAGAAAGGTAATACGAATCGTCTTGTTTCTCTAATGATTTAATGAAATGTAAAAGCTTCCGCGCTTCGCGCGGGAGTGGGGGGGGGGGGGGGAAAACTAAATTCAGACGAGGATTATTTTCGAGAACGGTACAACGAATCGTCTTCTTTCTTTAATGCTCTTAATGAAACTTAAAAGCTTCAGCGCTTCGCGCGGGAGGGGGGGGGGGGCCTGAATTCAGACGAGAATTTAGAGTCGAGAACTGTACGACGAATCGTCGTTTTTCTCTAATGGTTTAATGAATCGCAAAAGCTCCCGCGCTTTGCGCGGGCGGGGAAAAACTGAATTTAGACGAGGATTATTTTCGAAAACGGTACAACGAAACGTCTTCTTTCTGTAATAATTCAATGAAACGTCAAGAGGGAGGGGGAACTCGCCCCTCCCTGCACCCACCCCCCTCCCCGCATTTCGTCACTGCTGGTCACCATTACGTACCAATATTTGGCTCGCATAATTTCAAATTTGGGCCCCCCCCCCTAAGAAATCCTGGATCCGCGCCTGGTGTAGGCCTACTTTTTGTAAACACTACTGTAACATGTAATGAAATAGATGAAATTTAAAACTTTTTTTTTTTTTCTTCAAAGAAAGGAGTTGTGATTTTTACATAGTGAACTTTACATCAGAAGCGCAATTTGATAAGTATTACATTGCCAACATCTAAAAATTAATGGTCATTCCTATCGCACTTCAAAATGTTCCAGGTGATACAATTTTACAATACTTGTTTAGGAGTAGACCTAACACTTTATCGAAATACCAGTTTAGGGTGTGAATTCGGGAAAAAACCACGCAAAATCCTCATTTAGGGTATATTTTGGCTTCGGAAGAAATCCTCGTTTTAAGGGGTGTCTGGAAAACCTATGGATACGCATGCTTACAGTATTACTATGACTGAGAAAGTGAGACCCCCGGGACATTCATTGAAGTTATTCACTACTCGCTGTCGATTGAATGTCAGGAGTAACGGGGGGGGGGGAAACTTTGACGTTTCAATACATTATTGGAGAAAGAAGACGATTCGTTGTATCGTTCTCGACTCTTAATCCTCGTCTAAATTCAGTACCCCTCCTATCGCGCAAAGCGCGGAAACTTTGACGTTTCATTAAATTATTAGCACAAAGAAAACGATTCGTTGTACCGTTCTCGACTCTTAATCCTTGTATGAATTTTAAAAAAAATGTTTCTTTGTCTGCTCCTTTTCTTCCTACGTCCCTTTAATTTCTCTCTCTCTCTCCCTCTCTCCCTCTTTTTCGACCGGCCCTTTTTATTTGGGCGCGGCCAGACTACCATGCAGGAATGCACAGCGCAGTATACCAATATTCTAATGCTCAACCCGTCTCGACGCAGTTCACCCTATCGTCCAAAGTTAGATCACAACTAAAAACTCTTTGGCAATGGATACAAAATCGTTGTTCCTGGTGGTCCCCCTTTCTTTTCTGACAAAACATGGGGGATATTTGATATGATGCCCCCCCCCTAAGAAAAATCATGGGGGACGTGTCCCCCTGTCCCCCCCCCCCCCCTGATTGACGCCCTTGCCTGCAATTAGTATTACCGAAGCGATTGCCAGGTACCCATTTAAACCTGGGTGGAGAGTGACAAAGTGGATATTAACTTCTTGCCAAAGGACATTAGTGCCGGGCTGAGATTCGAATTCTCAAACCTTGAACTGAGAGTCAAATTAATGAACCACTATTCTACGACACCTCGGATACTATACTAACATAAAAATACAATTATGTTCCAAATATTTCAAGGAATTTACCATTTAAATTAAATTGTAATGGACACAGAGCTGATTAATAAAACAACTGTAAAGAAACATAAGTAAATGAAGTTAGGCCTACATCTCTGTCGTGAGACTACGAGGGCATCGGACAACTCAGTAGTTCATAAATTATTTCAGTAATAATCTGTTGTGTGTATAATGATCCAGACTAGCATTCAAGCCTATACATTCAAGATTACTGTTCATTTTGATAAAAAGTGTGAATACAAGGGAGCTCTATACCCTTTATAATTAGAAACAGTCATGGTTTCTCTAGAGAACGAGGAATCGACAGCGTTGCAAAAAATTTGGTATTATAATGCTGTACCTGATGATCACCAATTCTTATAAATAGATGCCGTCTATGATTTGCTTTGTCAAATTTGTCCACACTATATCAAAATAACTGCCATTGATTTAACCAATCATCATCGATACGATATAGGCTCATAATATATTATGTAAACAAAACATTCTTCCTTTTTTAGATAGAACCTTTTGCATTCAATTTTGTTTAAAGAATGACGATAGTATTATGATAAATTTATATTACAGCTGCTTATACTAATCTAGTTACCTTTATTAATAGTTCAAAATTGAAAAATGTCCCATCATACATCACGAAAAAATAAGAATGGAGATTCCCCTCGATTCTAATGTTCTCAACTTTTAGAATGCCCACCTTCCTTATTGCAAGCACGATTTTGTTCTTGAATTTCCCTTATTTTCTTGTTTTATTTGGCCATTTTTTCTACGAAGGGTTAATTCCCTATTTATTTTACTCCTAACCAATCCAAATCAGTACATGTAGGCTCAGTACACCTGGTGGCGCCGTCCAATGATCTCCTTTGCCCTCTGAGGTAGTGAACTTTTTATCTTGGCAAGAAAGATGTCTATCTGTGAGGAACAAAGAATACCAACAAAACACATGAAATGTCATTTTTACATGAACATTAGGCAACAAAATATTTTTTGCAGACCCACAGGAATGCAAAGTAAACTGTTTATCATATGAATTCTTGTTTTAATTTCACTTTTAAACATTACAAGTTAATCTAGAGATATCATTGATATAAGACGCTCATGTACTATTTAACGCAATGCATTTCAGACATTACTCTGAATGACCTGAAGAGGAAGATATTTAAACAGTATATTGTAACAATACTTACAATTATCTTAACGTACTTTATCAACATGTTGATAATTGTCGAATTGTAATTGACCAGTATCCAACAAATCATTTTGCTTTGTAACAAAATGCACTTCTCACATAAACCGCTAAATAAATAAAAAGTTCTACTTACCCAAGTGTAAGAACACAAAACATACATTACCTGACTGACGTGGCTGTCCTTCGAGAAATGTACATGATTTGAAATACTTATCTATATAACAAATAAAATAAATGAAAACTGTGAACATTCAACTGATTTTTTTGTTAATGATATACACTGTAATACACATACTTTTATAATCATACTTTAAGATGTTCTTCTCCTACTGTTATGAATTTTGTAACTACATTAATGAAATGAAAATCGTTCTGGACAGAAAATTGTTGATAATCCCTACTCACGCCCTCACTAAAGTATATTATTTGTATATACTATCGACTGCTAAATTTATATATAGTGAAGGGTTTAAATAACGACCAGGGTATAAAGACAGAAATGATGACCAAATTACATCAAAAAGATTAAGGAGGGTGATTCCATGAGGTGTCAAATAGATAAATTTCAGGTAAATGACCAAAGCCATCCTAGAACAGACTGGCAGTGTATCTAGGCTCTGTTGAGCAAGCATTGGCAAGGTATATTCATTTCAGACTCTCTGGTCCATTCTCTGTGAAAATATTCATCCACAATTATTAATCTAAAAAATTGGTATAGTATTGACAGAGAAGTGCCAATATATAACCAAAATATAATATGCTTCAACTACAAAAAACAAAAATGTGTATTAAAGCTTATCTGCCGTAGTTTACAGGAGGGATTAGACCGCTCTGCAAGGTCACTGGACAGGTGGTTATCTCATCAACTTAGCTCTCAGTTAACATAAGAAAAAGAGGATCATGGGGGACCAATGGTCACCGATTAGGCATTGTTTGTTATATAGAGGGCGCAAGTAGCTACCAGTAGTGCAGTGGGCCTTTAAAAAAGATCAAAATTAGATCCTTATTTGGACGTGCAATTTGATGAAAATCAAAAGCGCACAAGCACTAGATTATGTCTGCCTAATATGTATGAATATTATTACCAGTATTACTATTAGAATAGAATTGGAGATGGATTAAGTATATCATGTTTTTTTAAATTGAAATAGTCGGTTTACCATTCATTGATTTTAAAAACTAACTTTATTTCATTATTGCAAAGTTGAAACTTTGATTCGACAAGGTTATCAAAATTCAATGCTTGGAAACATGCGAAGTAATGATTATTATAAATTACAAAATGCTTAAATACAGCCCCGGCATAGCACCTAAAGAGCTCTCCGAACGCTGTTGAGATGTGTGACATCACAGTATGGACATGATTTGCACAAGCAGTCGATGTCCCATGACTTCTTACACATTTCAGTGCCTGTATTTTGATCTTCTCTTGAGTTTTTTTCTCTTACTTCACCGTCGGGCTAAATGTATAATCTATTGCCTCACCCTAAACCCCGCGCATGATTTTATTTTGACGACAAATGCAGCGATACAAAAATAAAGGAATCTGTTGCTTGTAAACAAAATAAGACGCCATTGTATATATTCAGCTGCACACACCGCCATGTTCGGCGTTTCAAGAGGGAACAAATGCCGTCCTTAATATCATTCCGGGGGTTTTTCAATTTGAAAATCTGGTTTCTTTGATTGTAAATGCACAGGATAAGAATTAATTAACAAACAAAAGATTTTAGTTATCAGAATCGGTTTCATATCCCCTTTTAAATGGTTTGAAATGCCATCACATTTATATATACTAAACTCATTATAATTTGAGAAATAACAGCTTTGCAATGTTCATTCTTTATGGGATGTCGTCTGCTTGGGCAGTATTGATCCATATTGTGACGTCATTAAAACATCGTTATATCGCGAATCTCTCGTATATCCCAGCTGCTAAGGAGGTGGTTGTATTTGTATTTTTATAAATCATCCGATATGTAGTTGACTTAAAACTTGTACGATGGCCATCTGTTAGCTTACTAGTTTCTAGTTATACATTAGTAGACATATTTGTGATTTTCTTTGAATCTCCACTTTAATGCATTCAAAGACCAAGGTAATATCTACTTCACAAGTTTCAAAAAGTCCCTATGAAGTATGAATCATAACTATTCATGCGGCCCCGTCTCAGTTCAATGGTATAACTTTCAAGATGGCTATTTTCAAAATTACAATTATCTCCGTTTCACACGTCTTACAAACCCAAACACCCCTCACGAGCGCATAATGCATACATGTGTGATATGCATATAATTATATATTTATATATAATGTATAATGATTCTTTTTAAACAATTGAAATGAAAATCATTCACTTTTCCACTATATATGACCGGTTTCAATTAAAACTGATTACAGTGAAAAAGTGAACTCTCAAGGAATTTTATTTCAATTGTTTTAATAATTAATTCTATATTACCGTGACGGAGGATTATCAAAATTTGATTACTATATATATATATATATATATATATATACACACACACACGCACACGCACACACACACACACATATATATATATATATATATATATATATATCAAAACAAATAAACAAATCAAATTAAATTAAAATAAAATGAATAATATATATACAAATCTAAAAAAGCTATACATGATTTCTTCTAACAGCAGAAAAAAGGTTAAACATGACTCTGTATTATTTAATAAACTTAAAATCACAGAACAATACCACATCACTCAATTTCAATTAGCCTATACGCTGTCATGGCAACATGACGTAATTATCTAGCAAGGATTTCTGCATCAGGACGGAAATTCCGTCCTATCGCACCAATAAATTAAGTTGTCATAGCAACATATTTGTTATTCTTCCTATTCGGTTGTGGTCTCGTTATTTGACATGATATCATTAAGTACATGCAAGGAAAAAATAGACTCGAAACTTTGGAGTCGTCATTCTGATCTGAGGGAAGGGGCGGGGGGGGGGGTGTGCCCCTATCCCTACCACTGTTCGTAATGTTATTCTATAAATGAGCGTGATGGAAACTATACAGTAAGATGAAAATCAGCTTATAACGAATGCTCAATAACAACGAAAGAGATAACCTCGAAATACAAATACCCAAATACATTTATTATGTATACCTGGTGGTTATGGAATCAAGGGAAACCTATGATAGGCCCTACAAGAGAAGAAAAGAAAAGAAGAAAGAAAATCTACACTTGACTGGGCGTGCCGTTCTCCCACAGTTTAAGGGCCAAGGCCCCGTAGGCTCATCATTCACAGGTCACCATCTCCCAGCCAGGTGATAACCTACACTTAATACTTATACCACCAGATTATATTAATAAATATACACAAAACAACTGCAATCTACGATATCAATATATACAAAAGCCACACAAAAGCAGAAAGCGAAATCAAATATCTTCAAAATGATTCATCTTAAAATACTATCGCGCCTACCACCACCACTACTACTACTACTTCTACTAGGCCTACTTCTAATGTTAAATATAACAATGAAAACAACTTAACGAAATGATACAGAATGCTGTCATTGGTTTGGCAGTACTATCATAAATGCAGTTTAGGCTTCTACCTATTTTAAAAGTATAGTATGCAAGCTTTCATCCACTCCTGTGACTTTCTAAAGCGATGCAAATGATTTTTCACATCGCAAGAAATTATGTGAAGAATCACTTGGCTTGAAAAGTCCAAATGGAAGATATCTTGTCTACTTCTAAATTGTAAGCTTGGTAAAAGCTGAAACTACTTGTAACCAAAATAAATTTTAAAAAATGAAATAAAAGATCGAAGAACACCACATCACACATAATTCCAATAATCCTATACGCTGTTTTGGCAACATGACTTAATCATATAGCAAGGATTTCCGCATCAGGACGGACATTCCGTCTCATCGCATTTATAATTTAAGTTGTCATAGCAACATAATAGTTGTTATATCTATTTGGTTGTGGTCTCGTTATTTGACGTGATATTATTTAGTACACGCAAAGAAAAAATAGACCGGCAATTTTGGAGTCGTCATTCTGTTCAGAGGGAAGGGGGGGGGGTGTGCCCCTATCCCAGCCACTGTTCGTAATGTTATTTTATAAATGAGCGTGATGGAAACTATACAGATGAAAATCAGCTTATAAAAAATGCTCAATAACAACGAAAGAGATAATCTCGAAATACAAATACCCCAAAATAAAAAATATCTTAAAGTTAAAGCTAGGTAAGAATACCCAAATACATTATATAATTATGTATACCTGGTGGTTATGGAATCAAGGGAAACCTATGCTAGGCCCTACAAGAGAAGAAAAGAAAAGAAAGAAAAATCTACACCTGACTGGGCGTGCCGTTCTCCTACAGTTTAAGGACCGAGGCCCCGTAGGCTCATCATTCACAGGTCACCATCTCCCAGCCAGGCGATAACCTACACTTAATACTAATACCACCAGAATGTATAAATTAGTATACACATAACAAATACAATCTATGATAAATATATACTCACACAAAAGCATAAAGCGAATTCAATATATTCAAAATGATTCATCTTAAATGCTATCGCTACTACCACTATTACTACTTTTACTATACTACTACTACTACTACTACTACTACTACTAGGCCTACTACTAATTATAACATTGAAAAAAATGTATTTGAATGCTGTCATTGGTTTGGCAGTATTATCATAAAT